AAAGGGAAGAAGTTTGTGTATAATGAAAAAAAAACATAATGCTATGAAGAAGAACATTTAGAAAACAAATAAAAACCCTCTGGAAATGTCAGAATGAAAAATTCAACAGCAGGATTAAAAAATAAAGATGACAAACTCTCCCAGGAGTATAGTAAAAAGCTAGAGACAAACTATGAGAGTGAGAAAAAAGAAAGAAAATTGGAAGAGCCCACATCCAAATAATAAAATTCTAGAAACATAAAGAAATTTAGAATTCTTTAAAATTCTAGAAACATGGAGGAAATTTATCTATAAAATAATAAGAACTTGTCCCAGAACTAAAGGATATGGGTTTTAGAAAAAGAACCTAGCAGGTATTCAGAAAAATTGGTGCACACGCCAACCAACATGATTATTAAATTTCAGAACAAATAAAGGGAACATCCGAAAAGCTCCTAGGAAAAAAACCAAAACAACCTAGGTCCTACATCAGTGGTTCTCAACCTTCCTAATGCCATGGCTCTTTAATACAGTTCCTGTGGGTCACAAACCACAAGTTGAGAACTGCTGTCCTACACAAAGAATCAACTCTGAGAATGTCATCACCAGCACTCTGGGAGGCCGAGGCAGGTGGACTGCCTGAGCTCACAAGCTCCAGACCATCCTGAGCCAGAGCAAGTGACCCTGCCTCTAAAAAATAGCTGGGCGTTGTGGCAGGCACCTGTAGTCCCACCAGCTACTCAGGAGGCTGAGACAAGACAATTGCTTGAGCCCAGGAGTCTGAGGATGCTGTGAGCTATGACGTCATGGCATTCTACAGGGGGTGATATAGAGGGACTCTGTGCCAAAAAAAAAAAAAGAGAGAGAGAGAATGGCAAGCTAAAACATTGTGAAGCCAGAGCTTCACGGTCAGAATTTCCAAGGAAAAATAATTTCTAGCTCGGAGCCTGTGGCTCAAGTGGCTAAGGCGCCAGCCACATACACCTAAGGTGGCGGGTTCAAATCCAGCCTGGGCCCGCCAAACAACAATAAAAATTGCCCCCCACCAGCTCGGCACCTGTGGCTC